AATACTTTCAAATAATTGTGTCAAAAGATCGACAAAAATTTTCTTGAAAAATTTCAGACTATTCATAAAGACATAATATTTAATCTGTCTAGAATACTTTCGAGTAGATTATTAATCAGCAAAATTCTTATATTTAGAATATTTCATATCACTTTTTATTCAAAGACTAGTTCATATTTAAATATAGAATATTCAGCATGTTAATAAAGAGATAATCTTTATCCACATCCAGTCGATAGTCATTGATAATATTAAAATTATTTATTCAATTTTGATTAAAATATGTATCAATTTACAAAAATTCTAGGAAATTCAATCGTAATTCTTTAAAAGAAATGAGAAAAAAAGTTATTAATATGAAGAAATATTCTTAAAGTATGCCAATATGAACGAAGATGAGACAGAGAGAGAGAGAGAGTTGAAATGTGTACAAAAGTATATCAGAAAGTTCATTAAGAGTAAGACAATTACAGATAATTAAATGTGCAATAGAAGAAAATTGTTCTTTAGTAGCAATTGATACGATGATATCTAATCCTTCATATTTAAATATTTTAATAAAGACAAATGAAAAATAATATACCAAGATAAATATTTTAAGTAGAAGAGAAGTATCATTAATTATAATGTGGAGATTTGGTTAAGAACAAGTGATACAATGAGAAATCAACAATAAACAGTGTGATGAATTTATTGATTATAAAAATGAAATGAATAAATTTGAAAAACTGAGAAAAAATTCGCTATTATCTTTTTCTCATCTTGAATAAAAAAAATAACTTACTAATCTTGGTTTAGAAATAATGAAAAAAAAACAAAAGATGACAGAAAAATTTAAAATACATTTATTCGATTTTCAATTTCAATAGTAAAAATTTCAATCTCATCTTTAATATCATCTCTTCTTATTATTACGAATAATCTACAGTTCAGCATATGTTTTATCTGTTAAGATCTTTCTAGTTGGATGATTGAGAATCATTTTATATAAACATAATTTCAAGTATATTCTTGATTTCAACAAAACAAAAAATAACAATTAAATCAAATCATTTCCATTGTATATAAAATCTAGTATATTGACGGTGTATTTTATAGTTCTTGAGTAAATTTTCTGAATCAATNATGTACCTGACCATTGAGCAAGAATTAATAATATTTGCATTGTCTGTAAAATTATAGATTTAGTCTGAAAGGATGTTAGAACTAAGTCTAAGAGAGAGTTGCTCTATATATTATTAAAGACGAGACGTTATACTATATATTGCCTTAGTAAAATATTCAATATTTATTGCTTTATTAAATTTTAAAAACTGTGATCAGAACTTTTGGTATACCCTAAGTATCTATATTGAATTTATATCATTTATATAAAGTAAAAACTCAACAAACAAGTAATAACGTAATGACACAACTTCAGTTCCGTATAGCTCTTGTTCGTTCCCTATTGGAACAAAATTTACAGGATAATCTTCCAGGACACTTAGTAAAAAGAGGAAGACCGTCAAATGAACCTACACCAGCACGACTAGTTTCACGACATTTTCCGTCTTTGATCCCTCCGACTGAAAATAAACAACATCCAGCAAGACGCTGTTATGTTTGCAGTCACACAGAAAATAAGAGTAATCGAACAAGACGTGAATCACGATTCGAATGTACAATTTGTAACGTTGGGCTTTATGTGGATCCATGTTTTCGTGTGTATCACACCTTACTAGATTTTTGAACAAACTTTTGAATATTGAAAATACTTTTGTAGGATTAAGTTTTTTTGTGCTTTCTTATTCAAAAACAACTTCTATTCTCTACATGAAATAATAAAGCATATATTGTCCATAAAAAACTTGTATTATTCTTAAATATGTTTGAATTTCCTAAGCCTATTTTGCGAAAACTCTACTATTTAATTTAAAAAAATATTAACAGTTAAGGGGTTAATATTTATAATTTATTATTGTATTTTAATGAATATTTTCTGAGTTCACATCGTCCACATCATTGAAATAGAAAATATGGTGAAGGATAATCCTATTTAGAAGTATCTCAACCTATTTTAGTACAGATTCCATAATATATCATTTTTTTAAATTTTTTCATGAAAAATCGATCAACTTCTCAAAAAATAAATATTCTTATTATCTTGTGTATAAAATGTGGTATAAATGAAAATTCATTGAAAAACAGTTTTTAACTATTCATAATGTAAATCATTCGTTATAGCAGTAAATTTCACATTCAATAAACTCTAAAAATCCTAGTATTCTACAATGAATTTAAAGTTTAAAAAAAAAAGTAACCATGATTATTTTTCCTTTAAGTTGACAACAATAAAAAAAAGAAAAGTAACGTATCGAAAATAAAACTGACCGACCTTCTCACATTATGCATAACAAAATAAATTTTCATTTCTTGTAATTTATTGATATCATAAAAAACATTCTAGTATTTCACAAGATGTACTATGGTCGAAATACTTGTTAAACAGTTTGTCATACATTTAATTTATCATCATGTATAGCTTCCTATTCATATATATTATAAAATAAATTTTTATTTCTAGTGAATATTTGTCGTTCTATAGAATTAATATAGAGAAGGAAATTTTCCTCATCAATATATCTTTGCAGTCACTTGAAGAATTTAAACAAATGTATAGTTATTTTAAAGATCATTTAAAATTAGTGAGCTCTGTGAGGTTGTGCTACTCGCTTAATTTAGCTTCTTTATTGAACAAATCGTCTCATTCCCACACAAATATACAGAATATCTAATTATTCAAAATTAAATAATTGTTTTTCGAGAATCAAAAAGGCATATAATCTGCTTGATCTAGAAACTTCATTTTAATGCTTTTAAAATGATTATTTATTTGTTGAGAGAAGTAAAATCTTATCACCCATACTTGTTTTCGCCAAGTATAACTTTGTCAGTTGATGAATTTTGTGGGAAAGTTTGCCTATCGATGAGCACCATAATATAAAAAATATTTGTCACGAATTTCAAACTAGGTAATCTGCCTATTTGAATGAATTTATTTGTAGCTCAACTATAGGATGTGTCTATGTGTTTGTTGGTAGGGCTGAATGTAATTACATGCAAATGAGTTAAATGTTTGGATTTAATGATTTTAAATTATTAACGTTCAAACGCGCATCAAAAATCAAAATTTTCATCCGTACCTGGATTTATTAGAGCCCTCATAGATGCTCTCTTAGACTGTTGTTTTCTAATCATAATTATTTTTCAAAAAATATTGAGCTTTCAACAAAATGATATTTTATATAGATTGTATAAACGTGACAGTTTTGTTCAACATCATCTTTTCTACACAAGTATTCATGCGATAAAATAAAATCTTGATTTTAAGTCATTATTATTATTTTTGTTAATTATTTGAATACTTTCAAATAATTGTGTCAAAAGATCGACAAAAATTTTCTTGAAAAATTTCAGACTACTCATAAAGATATAATATTTAATCTGTCTAGAATACTTTCGAGTAGATTATTACTCAGCAAAATTCTTATATTTAGAATATTTCATATCAGTTTTTATCTAAAGACTAGTTCATATTTAAATATAGAATATTCAGCATGTTGATAAAGAGATAATCTTTATCCACATCCAGTCGATAGTCATTGATAACATTAAAATCATTTATTCAATTTTGATTAAAATATGTATCAATTTACAAAAATTCTAGGAAATTCAATCGTAATTCCTTAAAAGAAATCAGAAAAAAAAAGTTACTAATATGAAGATATATTCTTAAAGTTTGCCAATATGGACGAAGATGAGACAATGAGAGAGAAAGAGAGTTGAAGTGTATACAAAAGTATATCAGAAAGTTCATTGAGAGTAAGACAATTACAGATAATTAAATGTGCAATAGAAGAAAATTGTTCTTTAGTAGCAATTGATACAATGATATCTAATCCTTCATATTTAAATATTTTAATAAAGACGAATGAAAAATAATATACCAAGATAAATATTTTAAGTAGAAAAAAAGTATGATTAATTTGAATGTGGAGATTTGATTTAGAACAAGTGATACAATGAGAAATCAATAATAAACAGTGTAATGAATTTATTGATTACAAAAAATGAAATGAAAGAATTTGACAGACTGACAAAAATTTCTCTATCATCTTTTTTTCATCTTGAATAAAAAAAATAACTTGCTAATCTTGGTTTAGAAATAATGAAAGAAAAACAAAAGATGACGGAAAAAATTTAAAATACATTTATTCGATTTTCAATCTCGATAGTAAAAATTTCAATTTCATCTTTAATATCATCTCTTCTTATTATTACGAATAATCAACAGTTCTGCATATGTTTTATCCTTTAAGTTCTTTCTAGTTGAGTGATTGAGAATCATTTTATATAAAGATAATTTCAAGTATATTCTTGATTTCAACAAAACAAAAAATTAAAATTAAATCAAATCATTTCCATTGTATATAAAATCTATCATATTGACGATATATTTTATAGTTCTTGAGTAAATTTTCTGAATCAATCATTTGATATAATTTTTCTACGTTATTATCCTTTGGATTATGACAAAAAAAAACACATATCGTCATAGGATGATAAATATTGTTATCTTTAATATCCCATAAGATACATCGTATGACTGATTTAAAATTAGTATCTCGAACACGTTCTATTCCAAAAAATTGTATACGAGGAAAGTATTTAAAAATATATTCTATTTGTTCGTTTTATTACATTTTGAAGATTTATTTTACTAATTTTGTTAAATTCTAAAAATTCATTAAAGATAATCATACATTCAGGAATGAAACTAAATTTTCACAGAATGGTGAATTTGATAATCTGATTGAATTCAGATTTGTTAATGTGTGTAAAATTTTAATTAAAATAATAACAGCCATTCGATCACATTCAATATCCAAATAAGTAATTTGTGTCGTAATTAATATAGGATTAATTTTATCAATTATTGATTCCTCAATTCTAGTAATAAAAGTACCAACAACATTAAGTTCAACTAGTGAAAAATAAGGATTTGAGGAATCATTAATATTATTTTTTGAATTTTGATTAACATGTAAATGTTCTTGAAAATCGATCCAAGTTTCTCTACATAAAAAAAACACAACTGAATATAAAAAATTACGTCTTGATAGTAAAACTGTGCAATATCATTAAAAATATCTGTTGACTTGATTTAAAATGTTCTTTCAGGATTCTGATCTGTAGATTTCTATTCTTTGATAAGTACTGATATGGACATATTGAATCAATGAGTTCATCGTCTTTAATTAAAAGTTTAAAAATCCATTTACGATTAATCCAAAATGATGAAGTGAAACGATTATGATTAATGAATGATAAAAACTTATTTGAAATTTATCATCAATAGTATCACTATAACGAAAGATAAATTCGATTAATGAAGTCATATTTTTTAAAATTAATCGCTCCTATCGATCAGCATTTAAGTAATTTTCATCTATACTTTCGATCTTAACGTTTAATAACTTCAGTTGAGAGCAAAAGTTCAATAGAAATTCTTCAAATTCATCGAATTCTATATTACATAAATTCATAGTTAAATATGTTAAATTATTTGATTTTATCATCAATTCTGATTTCATATCAGAATTTGATTCGATGATGTTGAAAACAATGTAAATGAGAAAGTCGAGGTGTATATGAAATGATATTAATAAGTGGATTAAAAGTACATCTATGATAAATAAGTAAATATTCGATAGACGAAAATTGGTTTTGAGCAGTAATTGGAATAGTAATACATAAATGTGGATATCGTGGAACTGCTATTCGAAAATATTTCAAAGATAAATGAAATATCATTTGATAGATATCACCAAGATTATGAGAACAATTATTAATACAAATACTTAATGAAGAAAGATAAGGTAAAGATTTCAAATAAAAAAGAACTATTATTAATTTATGTACTGAGATTGAATAAAAAACAAGTCTTTCAAGACGAGAAAATAATGAATCAATAATAAAGAAATTCATGAATTTATCAAGAATATATTCAGAATGAAAACCAAATGAAATAATATGATGTTTGTTTAATTTAAGAAATTGATTATAATGAAAATTGAATATTGTGTTAGAAGGAATTTGAATTTTCATAAGTAATGATGAATTAATTAAAAGATTTTCTAAACGAATATTAAGATTAGAAAATGCTTTATAGATATCATAACCATCAAGATAATCAAATATTTCATAGAAGATTTCATTAGAGAAATTTTCAATACAACTAATTCTTATAGAAATTTAAAAAAAAAAAGTTCTATTAAATTAAAAAATTTGTTTTTTGTTTTTGTTCTTTGCTTTTTCTTTTCAAATAATCCTAGAAATAAGGAAGAGTTAATTGACTAGATAGATTTATTACAACTTACGCTGTGATTTTATTTTGCAAGATTGACAAAAATTTAGTTGATGTTTAACTCGATTCATGTTCATTAAATCTACATGCGTTTTCCTACTTTGTTATTTCTATCCTCATTGTTTTCTTTCCTTCTCCTCCTTGTCCATATCGAATGATTAACTTGTGGGTATGCGCTTTAAATATAAAGAGAAACAGACAAAAGATAATAAATCGTTTCTGTTGTTAAAATTCAACTGTTAGTTTGTTTTATGATTTGTGTATAATTATATTTCGTTAACCGTTAAAAATCGAATGTTTCTTCCAAGGGATATTGTGATAATGACTGTAAAAAATTGATATTTTTCCAGACTAAGATATTCTGATGGATCATAAGTTAAAAAACAAATTACTCTTAAGTAACTTGAACCATACAACAGATATTATACTCTCATTTCCAAAAAAAGAAAATCTTTTTTGTATTTTTTAGCATACGCAAATGATTCATTATTTTTCTGTGCGAATAGAAATATAAATAATAAGGTTATTCTATTAATACTTTTTAACAACATTTACACATGATAAAACCCATTGATGATTTGTAAAATAAACAGAAGTATATACTAAACAAGAAACAACATAGAGATCTTCTTCATAATTGAAAAATAAATCAATAAAAATTTAATCGAACGAAGATAGACAAAAATAATGTCTTTATTCTTTCTCTTAATTTCTGTCAAAAATTTGATATTCTTTCATTATAATATTCAACAATCGCTGTATAAGCAACATAGTAACTCCAGAAAATATTCATTTCATTAAGAAAATAAATGACAAGCAAATTAAAAATCATCAATATAAGAAGAATCATTGGAGAAAACAATTTTTTATTACTATACACTTTATTCAATGATAAATTCGATTGTATCTACAAAATAAAATCTGATTTTTTTATAATACATAAAAGAAGTGATTTGTATTGACAAATGCTTTTTGTTTGTCTAGGATCGTAATAATGTTTAATGGATGTACAATATCAGGTAAAGAAGAGATAAGTATAATTTTTTTTTCTTTGTTTTGTGAAAGTAGTGACATTGGTATTAAAGAATGGTTAGTCATAGAAGATGTTTCATATGAATCTATTGATGAAGGAGAAAATGATGAGGGATTTGAGATGAACGAGATGGTCAATAGCGAACTGAAACTAGAATCATTGAAGATATGAACTATTTGAGAAAAGTATTGATGATTTTTTATCTTTATATCTTTTAACTGATGATTTATTTATTTAAAGCTTTTTTAATATTTTACTTGATTAATTTCAAACACTATTAGATGTCTATGGTTATCTTAACAACTTTCTTGGAACATCTATCAATTTTAATGTGATAGATTGGTCAAAATTATGTTCAGTGGTTATGTCTCGGATAGATTTAATAAACGCGAAGTTTACATAGGTTGCTACTGATAGTTTTACATATGACTTCCGAGCATTATGTTTTTGTGTTGTAAACAGACAGTAAAAGCTACGATAGAATTCATTGGGTAAAATAATTTTTTCTAATTAAATATATGATTCTAGAAGCAACACAGGATTTTGGTTCTGCTCAAGAATAGAAATTAATTGATGTCATTTGATAAGTACATGGCATAACAAGGGTGTATATGTGAATGATAATCTTCTTGCTATTCCCATCCACAGTTACATCTGCGTATGGGTGGCACATCAATAAGCAATCGCTTCTCCTAAAAAAATGTTTACATTCATATATTATTTACGACTTGATAAGTAATTTAGGAAGATTGATCCACTGTCTCTTGAATTTGTTTTGTTTTTACCTTGATGAATACATTTCCTGCTATACATATTCGACATGTACTCTTATTAAAAGAATCGAAGTAGAGTTATTCACATATAATTGATGCAATATAATAATTAATCTTCTGTGTCAGTTGTTTTTAATAAAAATGGATTTTCTATTCGAATTTTGTTGTTTTTCTTTTAATCAAATTTGTAATTTACTTTTTAAAATATAAAATGAAAATCTCTGATAAAAATTACTTCAAAACAAAATCAATATCTTCACATAAAACATGTGATGTTAATAGTATTACTGGTGCAAATACAAATATTGTTAATACAAATGAATTAATAGTGATCAAGAGTGTGAATGTGGATGCTCTGTTGAAGTGAATTTTCAAAATCGATTAGTAGTTCTTTTTTTAAGTTTCAATTTTCATACATTTTAAACATTTTATATGATATATAAATTAAATAATAACGCGAATAATTACTCATAATACCTATTGTAGAATTGATCTAAGTAACTATGCATTTTCTTTGTATAATTCTGTTACGGTATATAATACGGTCAATTCATAGTTCATTAAAACTTCAAGAAAAAAGAATTATTAGTTGATTTTGAGATTTTAGTTATCAGATCTCTCATGTTTATATAACTATTATTAAAAGAGATAACGTCATCGGATAATATGCCATTTAAATATTGTCTAAAATACTCGAAATTTATATAGATATAGTTGAATACAGATCACTTCTTGTTTACATATAAGCAAATTTTTTGTCGAATTCAAGAATTTATGTAACATCTTTTATAGAAATATCTTTCATGTATGTCTTATTTTATGTTGAAATAAAAATAAAATAAAAAGTTAGATCTGTTATTTATTCTTTTTCATTCATTTCAATTTGAAGATATTCTTGTTGAGAAAATAAATTAACAATGAATTGAACTTTATTCAATGAACAACATTCACGAAGATTTAGATTTTTTAATTTTATTTGTATTGGATACATCTTGAAAAATTTCAATGTATTCAATTAACTTTGAATTAAATTCATACATGCAAAACGTAATAATTCAACAATTTCTTTAAAAGAAAAATCATAAGATTCAATAACGAATTCTGTAACTTGTATTAATGAAATCATACGATTCAAAATTATTGTTATCGAATCATCTGATGTTTTAAATGACATTTGGAAAATACTTGACATAATCATTTTGTTACATCCTGCCATCTATTTATGTAGTTATAGCTCTTTCGTGTTTGTGATTGTCTCTCTCTCTCCCTTGTTATTCTTTTGTTATATATATTAGTGAAAGAGAAATAAAACAGTCAGTTATGCTTTAACCAAACGAACTCGAACGTCTTTTATTCTCTATATAAAATAANAATGTTGTAAAATTTATACAAATTTCTAGTAGAATTTTCAACAACTACTCTGCATTTTCGTACAACTGTTGTGAACTTCTTTTACTACATGTTCTGTGAAAAAATTGAATATGATATCTTGTTCAGTCGAGGGCTAAGCGAGTCGAAGCGACGAGCGTTATTTGTTAGTTCTAGATATAGAAAATAAATTGCAATCGTATGAAAGACTTTCGTGCAAACTTTTAGATTTATTTTGCATCGACATCACAGACAGAATCATGCCGATTATAAAGTTTATCATTCTTTGTATTATACTGTACGGTGTAGAGAGTACTGTATCCGATATCACCACGTCATCATCAAATTGGCAATCTATTCTTAGTAATTAAAAACCTGGTGATCTTGTCACGATGCATCAGAGTAGTTATACAACAGCGGGTGCTGGCTATTTTCAGTTGACATTGAACGGTCTATTGATACAACCAATCATCATGGGGTGTGGGTGTGGATGGTGTTGTGGAAATGAGTGTGTACGCCAGCAACATCAGAACCCACACCAACACCCACACCCAAATAATTTCAAGAAATTTGATTTTGCCACAATTAAAATCTCCACTAGTCGTTTGTTGATTTCAAACTCAAATTTGTCAATGGTTTTTTCATAATAAATTGAATAGTTTTTCTATTTGCAATTATTAATAATAAAAAAAAGCCAATGATGCATAGCTTAAGATTGTTGGTACTGAACCTATATGTTTTATAAATGCACAATTTACATAAGATTCTTCTTAATCTCCATCAGAATTTTGTTTTCATACAAAAAAATTCTAGCTTTTAAAATTGTTTTGAATTTAATTTTTTCTTCAGTTGTTGTCAAAACTTCAATAGTAAACCATGTTCCATAAATAAAAATAAATTGCTCAGTTTCCATTAGGTGTTTGATAGCTTTTTAATAAATTCAATTTCATGTTCAATATTAAGGTCAATTTCTTTTTGTTGATAATTAAAATTATTCATAATTGATTTTCATTGATGCTCATTAAATAATTCCTCTTAAAAATGAAAAACAAATATTTTTCTGTAGAACTTGAAGAATTTCTTTTTTTTCATATTTCGCTTTATCCGTTTCGAACAATATGATGACTAGTTAAATCATTAATAAAAAAGATAGATGAAATATAGATTAAAAATATGGTTTTAAGTTGATTCTCTTTAGTTTCATGTTTCAAATCAAATGAAATTTGTATTTTACGTCATATCTTGCACAAATCAAACATTATTTCAAATTTGACATGATCAATATTTTCGAATAGTCAATTTTCTGAAGTAAGGAGGATGTGATTCATATCAACAACATCAACACCCACATTTAGTTCGTCTTTTCAAACTTTATGATCCACTTTTTCATTGAAATTGCAACGATAATTGAATGAAATTTTTATTTTGGTAGAAAAAACTGAGATAGAAATGCAGATAATGCCATAACCGTTCCTCCCGTACTCAACTAAGAGCCTATCTCAAATGGCGAAGTTAGCAAAATCGAACTCCTGACAAGAAATAATGCATTAAAAATTTCTAAATTTTTCTCATTTTTAACATAAAAATTCTATACGAAATCCTGTATTTTGAAAAACTCGCCATCCAAACCAAGTCCTTGGTAATCTGTTCTCATCTAAGGTTAATAGTTTCTTATCGACAACTACACTCCCACTTCTCATCATTTCTGCGTTAATTTGGATAGCGTTGCTCTGTGTAATGTAATAATAAATTATTGTAAGCATGACTGATAGTTATGTAGAAAACAAATAAGTATTTACAAATGCATTTTTACCTTAGCTTTTAGATGACTTTTTTAGAAGAGAAGTTGTTTACAAATAACTATATAATTATTTTTCTATCAAAACGTCATAAACAATAAAGGAAGTCTTTAAAAATAGAAGTGAAATTTGGTATTTTCTTTTCTATCTTCCTAGTCTATTTTCTACTCTAAAATGTCACTATTATAGCAAAAAAAAATATTCTAACATTAGTTAAAAATTTTCATATTCAAAATGAAAATCACAGCTCAATTATTCAAGAGTTAGTAGGTATGCAATGATTAAATTTAGATTTTAGCTCAAAGTTCCATTGTTTGTAATGATATAATTTGTGTTTTCAAGTTTCAGCCCATAATTCTATAGTTATGTCTTTCATCTTGAAAATAAAGATTTGCAATTGAAAATTTGTTCTAAGATTGCTCATAATCTAGTTCTCATAACTAAAATAGAACTCATATCTGTATTTTATGAAAAATTCAACTTTTAAATATCATAATATTCATGTTCTTGTTTAAAATTAATAATAATAGCGCAATTTATTATACATCTTTAAAAATCTTTAAGAAACAAAAATAATAATAATCAAAATATTAAACATCTAACAGAAATATGAACTAAAAGATATTTTCAAGAAGATAACAAATCTGAGAAATCTTATATTATTGGGTAAGATAATTAAACTTTATATTACAAAATAGTGTTATTACATTTATTTTTGAAATATAATTTCTTATTACTTATACATATTGCACAATGCAAAAATGTATTATCATATTAAGAATCTTTGTTGCTACTTCTAAGTTAATTTCATCATTTTTAAAGATTGAATCACTATCTAAAATAATCTTTATCATTATAGATTATCAAGCCTTATAACAAAAAAAGGATAGTTTCCACTATACTCTACATATGCTCCGACTATTTCAAAGGTTAATGGATATGTAAACAATATATTCTAGCTGAGACAAACGTTATAACTGTATAAGAAGTGTAAGAGTTTTTTTATCCGAAAAGTAATGCTACATAAAAAATCTTTTGAACAACACTGCGTCTCAAACTAAACTAAGTTTGATAACGTGGCATCCTACTCTTTTCTTTCCTTAATTAGGTTCTATCACAACTAATCTTTACAAAAATATTGTGTGAATATAAACATCAATCCTCCATGACATACAATATATGTGTATGACTTTATAACCTACATTATAGATTCTATGTATTTTCCTGACTTTGTTAAATCTTATGAGTACTAGATAAAACATAGTCATTGGTTTTTATCCAAAAAGAAAAATTAAATTACAAAAACTAAATAACCCAAGAATTCAATCTGTTTCGAAAAATTAGATGGCATTAGAAATTGACGAAAAAACGAGTGATTATAAAGCATCTTTTTCTTGAATATATTTACAGTTAGCAAGAATTTTCTGTATCAATGCAATTAGATATTGGCAATTAAATTATCTATGTATTATTTATAATATATTGTTAAAGATTTTTATGGCTGTGATGTAGCACGTCAATTGTTCAGACATAGTAAGGACTAGCTTTTATTACTGTTATCATTTAAAATATTTTGAATCCTGAAAAGAAAAGAAAATGGAACTTCACAAAGATTTGCGGTATTGGGAAGCTAGTTTGTAAGTTAATAAAATATTATCTGAAGAATTGAAGAAAGAGATCTCTCTTGTTTAGTCTTTATACTTTATTATTGTATTTGAATGAATATTTTCTGAGTTTACGTTGTCCAGATCATTGAAATAGAAAAAATATAGTGAATGACATTGCTATTTAGAAGTATGTCAACATATTTTTGTACAGATTTCATAATATATTATTTTTTAAAATTTTTTCGTGAAAACTCGATCAACTTCTCAAAAAATAAATATTATGAGCAATGAATAAGTATTATTATTATCTTATGTATATAATGGAGTATAATTGAAGAATCATTGAAAGAGAATATTTCTAACTATTCATGATATAAATCATGCACTATATCAGTAAATTTCACATTCAATAAACTCTGAAAATCCTACTATTCTACAATGAGTTAAAAGTAAAAAAAAAGTAACCATGATTATTTTTCCTTTCGACTGACAACAATAAAAAAAAGAGAAAAGTAAAGTATCTAAAATAAAGCTTGTTGACTTTCTCACATTATACATAACAAAATAAATTCTCGTTTCTTGTAATTTATTGATATCATAAAGAGCATTTTAGCATTTCACAAGATGTACTATGGTCGAAACATTTTTTAAGCAGTTTGTCATACATATTATTTATCATTATGCATAGATTCTTATTTGTATGTATAATAAAATAAATTTTTATTTCTAGTGAATATTTGTCGTTTTATAGAATTAATATATAGAAGAAAAATTTCTTCATATTTTCCTCATCAATATATCTTTGCAGTCACTTAAATAATTTCGACAAATGCATAGTTATTTTAAAGATCATTTAAAATTAGTGAGCTTTGTGAGGTTGTGCTACTCGCTTAATTTAGCTTCTTCATTCAACAAATTGTCTCATTATCACACAAATATACAGAATATCTAATTATTCAAAATTAAACAATTGTTTTTCGAGAATTAAAAAGGCATATAATCTATTTGCTTTATTGATTCTCTCTTACTTCTTGATCTAGAAACTTCATTTTAATGCTTTTAAGATGATTATTTATTTGTTGAAAGGAGTCAAATCGTATCACCAATACTTGTTTTCGCCAATTATAATTTTGCTAGTTGACGAATTTCGAGAGAAAGTTCGCCTATCGGTGAACACCGTAATACAAAAAATATTTTTCGCGAATTCCAAACTAGTAATCTGCCTATTATAATGAATTTATTTGTAGCTCAACTATAGGGTTTGCATGTGTTTGTTGGTATGGCTGAATGCAATTACATGCAAATGAGTTAAAGGTTTATATTTAATGATTTTAGACTATTAGCGTTCAAACGCGTATCAAAAATCAAAATTTTCATCGGTACCTCGATTTCTTAGTGTCTTCATAGATACTCTGGTAAACTGTTGTTTTCTAATCATAATTATTTTTCAAAAAAATTGAGCTTTCAACAAAATGATATTTTATATAGATTGTATAAAAGTGACAGTTTAGTTCAACATCATCTTTTCTACATAAGTATTCATGCGATAAAATAAAATCTTGACTTTAAATCATTATTATTTTTTCTTACTTATTTGAATACTTTCAAATAATTCTATCAAAAGATCGACAAAAATTTTCTTGAAAAATTTCAGCCTATTTATAAAGACATAATATCTCATCTATGTAGAATACTTTCGAGTAGATTATTAATCAGCAAAATTCTTATATTTAGAATGTTTCATATCACTTTTTATTTAAAGACTAGTTCATATTTAAATATAGAATATTCAGCATGTTGATAAAGAGATAAGCCATACCCACATACAGGCGACAGTCATTGATAAGATTAAAATCATTTATTCAATTTTGATTAAAATATGTATCATTTTACAAAAATTCAAGGAAATTCAATTGTAATTCCTTAAAAGAAATCAGAAAAAAAGTTATTAATATGAAGAAATATTCTTAAAATATGCCAATATGGACGAAGATGAGACAGAGAGAGAGAGAGAGAGTTGAAGTGTGTACGAAAGTATATCAGAAAGTTGAATGTGAGTAAGACAATGACAGATAACTAAACATTCAATAGAAGAAAAAATTGTTCTTTAGTAGCAATTGATACGGCGATATCTAATCCTTCATATTTGAATATTTTCATCTTCAAATATTTTAATAAAGACAAATGAAAAATAATTTGATAAACATTATCAAGATAAAGATTTTAAGTAGAAGAGAAGTATGATTAATTTGAATATGGAGATTTGGTTAAGAACAAGTGATACAATGAGAAATCAATAATAAACAGTGTAATGAATTTATTGATTATAAAAATGAAATGAAAGAATTTGAAAAACTGACAAAAATTTCGCTATCATCTTTTTTTCATCTTGGATAAAAAAATAACTTGCTGATCTTGGCTTAGAAATAATGAAAAAAAAAACAAAAGATGACAGAAAAAGATAAAATACATTAATTCGATTTTCGATCTCGATAGTAAAAATTTCGCATCGAATACTTAAAGACTAACATAAAAAATTTCAGTCTCATCATTAATATCATCTCTTATTATTATTACGAATAATCCACAGTTCAGCATATGTTTTATCTTTTAAGATCTTTCTAGTAGGTTGATTGAGATTTATTTTCATTTCAATCTAGATCAAGTACAATTTATAAATGAATCATTTTATATACACACAATTTTAAGTATATTTTTGATTTCAAGAAAACAAAATAACAATTAAATCAAATCATTTCCATTGTATATAAAATCTATCATATTGACGATGTATTGTATAATTCTTGAGTAAATTTTTTGAATCAATCATTCGATATAATTTTTCAACCTTATTAAATTTTGCATCATCACAAAAAACACATATTGTCATAGAATGAGAAATATAGTTATCTTCAATATTCCATAAGATATATCGTATTATTGATTTAAGATTAGTATCTCGAACACGTTCTAATCCAAAAAATTTTATACGAGGAAAGTATTTAAAAATACATTCAATTTGATCTTGTTTAGTTACATTTTGAAGAGTTATTTTACTAATTTTGTTGAATTTTAAAAATGCATTAAAGATAATTATATCTCGAATATTTAAATCCATTTTTTTACATAATGGTGAATTTGATAATCTGATTGAATTCAAATTTGTTAATGTATGTAAAATTTTAATCAACATGATAACAGTCATTTGATTACATTCAATATTCAAATAAGTAATTTGTGTCATAATTAATATAGGATTAATTTTATTAATTAATGATTCATCATTTTCAGTAAGAAAAGTACCAACAACACTAATCTCAACTAGTGAAAAATAAGGATTTGAGGAATCATTAATATTATTTTTCAAATTTTGATTAACATTTAAATATTCTTGAAAATCGATCCAAGTTTCTCTACAAAAAAAAACTGAATATGAAAAAATTCCCTCCTGATAGTAAAACTGTGCAATATCATGAGAAATATCTGTTGACTTGATTTAAAATGATCTTTCAGGATTCAGATCTGTAGATTTCTATCCCTTGATACATACTGATATGGAGATATTGAATAAATGAGTTCATCGTCTTTAGTTAAAAGTTTAAAAATCCATTTACGATCAATCCAAAATGATGAAGTAAAACGGTTGATTAATGAATGATAAAAATTTATTTCAAATTCATCATCAATAGTATCACTATAACGAAAGATAAATTTGATTAATGAAGTCATATTTTTTGAAATAAATCGCTCCCATCGATCAGCATTTAAGTAATTTTCATCTATACTTTCGATCTTAACATTTAATAATTGCAATTGAGAACATAATTTCAATAGAAATTCTTCAAATTCATCGAATTCTAAATTATATAAAGTCATAGTTAAATGTGTTAAATTATTTAATTTGATCATCAATTCTGATTTCATATCATAATTTGATTCGATGATGTTGAAACAATGTAAATGAGAAAGTCGAGGTGTATATGAAATTATATTAATAAGTTGATTAAAAGTACATCTATGATAAATAAGTAAATATTCGATAGAAGAAAATTGGTTCTGAGCAGTAATTGGAATGGTAATACATAATTGTGGATGTCGTGGAACTGCTACTCGAAAATATTTCAAAGATAAATAAAATATTATTTGATAGATATCACCAAGATCATGAGAACAATTATTAATACAAATACTTAATGAAGAAAGATAAGGTAAAGATTTCAAATAAAAAAGAACTAAGAGTAATTTATATGTTGAGATTGAATAAAAAACAAGTGATTCAAGACGAGAAAATAATGAATCAATAATAAAGAAATTCATGAATTTATCAAGAATTAATTGAGAATCAAAATCAAATGAAATAATATGATGTTTGTTTGATTTAAGAAATTGTTTATAATGAAAATCGAGTATTGTGATAGAAGAAATTTCGATTTTCATAGATAATGATGAATTAATTAAAAGATTTTCTAAACGAATATTAAGATTAGAAAATGATTTATAGATATCATAACCATCAAGATAATCAAATATTTCATAAAAGATTTCATTGGAGAAATTTTCAATACAACTAATCCTTATAGAAATAAAAAAAAAGGTTTAATTAAATTAAAAAATTTGTTTTTCTTTGTTCTTTACCTTTTCTTTTCGAATAATCCTAGAAATAAGAAAGAGTTAATTGACTAGATAAATTTATTACAACTTACGCTGTGATTTTATTTTGCAAGATTGACAAAAATTTAGTTGACGTTTAACTCGATTCATGTTCATTAATTCTACATGTGTTTTCCTACTTTGTTATTACTATCCTTATTTTTCATTTTTTTTTCTTTTCTCCTGCTCCTTTTCCATGCTGGATGATTCACTTGTGGGTATGCCTTAAATATAACAAATCGTTTCTGTTGTTAAAATTCAACTGTTAGTTTGTTTTATGATTTTTTATAATTATATTTCTTTAACCGTTAAAAATCGAATGTTTTTTCCAAGGGACATTGTGATAACGGCTGTAAAAAATTGATATTTTTCCAGACTAAGATATTCTGATTGATCATAGGTTAAAAAACAAATCACTCTTAAGTAACTCGAACCATACAACAGATATTGTACTTTCATCGCCAAAAAAAAACCTTTTTTGACTTTTAAGAATTAATTTCTATTCAAGAATTTGAACAAAAAAAAAAGTTATATTCTCTGCTTATATACAGACGAGACGAAAGTTAACACATATAGAATAGTATGTTCAGCATCATTTCTTTTTTGTTTTGTATTTTTTAGAATAAGCAAATCATTCATTATTCTTCTGTGTGAATAGAAATATAAAATAATAAGTTTATTTTATTAATATTTAAAAAAAATGTTGAGATAATAGAGTTCATTGATGATCTGTAAAACAAACAGAAGTATATACACCATAAAAGAAACAACATAAAGTTCTTCTTGATAATTGAAAAATAAATCAATAAAAATAATAAAAATTTAATTGAATGAAGACGGACAAAAATAATGTCTTTATTCTTTTTCTTAATTTCTATATTCAATTTCTGTCAAAAATTTGATATTCTTTCATTATGATGTTCAACAATCGTTGTATATGTAGCATGTTAACTCCAGAAAACATTCATTTCATTAAAGAAATAAATGACAAGAAAATTAAAAGTCATCAAAATAAGAAGAATCATTGAAGAAAACAATTTTTTTATAATAGATAAAATAAGTGATTTGTACTAACAGATGTTTTTTGTCTGTCTATGATCATGATAATGTTTAATGGATGTACAATATCAGTTAAAGAAGATATAAATATCATATCTTTTTTTTCTTCGTTTTGTGAAAGTAGTGGCATTGGTATTAAAGAATGGTTAGTCATAGAAGATGTTTCATATGAATCTATTGATGAAGGAGAAAATGATGAGGGATTTGAGATGAACGAAATGGTCGATAGCAAACTGAAACTAGAATCATTGAAGATATGAACTATTTGAGAAAAGTGTTGATGATTTTTTATCTTTATGTCTTTTAACTAGTGATTTATTTATTTAAAACTTTTTTAATATTTTAGTTGATTAATTTCAAACACTATTAGATCTCTATGGTTATCTTAACAACTTTCTTGGAACATCTATCAATTTAAATGTGATAGATTGGTTGAAATTATGTTCAATGGTTTTGCTGGATAGATTTGATAAACGCGAAGTTTACGTAGGTTGCTACTGATAGTTTTACATGACTTCCGAGCAAATATGTTTTTGTGTTGTAAGCAGAGAGTAAAAGCTACGATAGAGTTTATTGGGTGAAATAATTTTTTGTCATTAAATAGATGATTCTAGAAGCAACACAGGATATTTGTATCTTTTAGCAGAATCTCAAGAAATAAATGTTGGGTTCGACAACTTTATTTGGTCAAATACAAGACCAATTTAGAATTACTGTTTATATTGAGACACGATTGCATGGTTTTTCTCATCGATATTTAGTTTGATGAAGTCAATGATCTTTGATAAAGTATCATACACAAGGGTGAATCCACATGGCTTCTACCATCATTACATCGACCCGTTACGCAAGCGATGCGACACACCTAGCCAGATGTAGTTTGGGGCGCTGATTCCAATGGTGAAAACCGCAGGTCTCTATCTTTTTCGAAAAAAAAATTATTCGCAAAATACTCTCCCAGCAAAAACTAGG